ATTATACTATTTTATTATATTATATGAAAAATGTTATTTGTAAGCTTGGTCAACCTATTGGCATATACATTCGGAAGTACGCAAATATTTCCGTTATTCCGCAGATGGTTTGGGAAATGCCTCATACATTCTGTGAGGGTCGTTTAGCGTTGTTCCGTCTCGGGTTGCGGCCCTCTCTCTGGATTTAGATAACCTAGGCTTAAATAATTTTAAGTCTTGCGAAGAATTTCTTTACTAAATTACATAAAATATGAAAGCGCAATATTTTAAATTATCTATTCGTTTAGTTTTTTTGGTTGACAAAGATCACCTATCAAAGAAATAGTAAAGTTCGCTGTTTGCATGCGAGAGTACATTAAGGACAAAATGGTAAAATGAATAATGAATTTTGAAAGCGTACTTTTCTGCACGATATGCTTTTTTTAAAGTAATCAAACTTATTTGACTTAGACTGGCGCTTGCGAAATCGTCGGTTACAAAAATATAGATCAAGATTTAAATTCTGGCAAATACGTATTTTATATTTTGCAATTTAAAAATATAGTAACATTTCCTTCGTAACAGAGTATTTTAACATAGACAATTTTCAGTAGTTGTTGGAATATTAAACTTCAGGCTTCTGTTACTCGATAGTTAGTAGTTTTACGTCAGATTTTCGTTAAAGTCATTTGAAACATACGAACGTTCTAAAAAAAGATAAATATAACCCAAAAAAATGTATTAAAGAAGTGAGTTCACTCCTCGCGCTCTATTTCACGTCGAATCATAATTTCCGAGTTGTCTATACCACAGAGGGAATTACCATAGACAGCCTTATACAGTCAAATTTGTAGAGGCTCTACTGACAAGTGAAGTGGAATAATAAAAGTAAATTCAGATCTAATGTATGGATTTATTCAGTGGTAGAGCCGCGCGAATGGCTTCTGTTGCCTGCTCACTGTTAGGGTGACGATGCGGTTGAAAAATTTGAAGACTCTATTTTAGTCATATGCAAGTTATTTAGTTAAATTTTACGAATTATAATTCACTTACCTTATCGTGTCTGGCTTTTACATATTTTTTCTTATTTTGCATTTTTTATTTTTTATATTAAAATCTTTATCTTTGAAGTTAGTAGTACCCTTTACCCTTTACCCTTATCCTGTAGCCTGTAGAAAGATAAATAAAACATTATTATTCCAGTCATATTCATGAAATAAGTCAAATGCGATAAAATATGTCTGAATGATCTCCTTCAGGTGACATTGTAATCTTAGCCGTAATATTTTAACGTAGCCGAGCGCCGCCGCTACACGAGTATGGCTTTTTGAATAATATTACACACTACTACACGACGCCTTGGTACCTTTTTTTTATAAAAACTCAAATTTGCTAATATAAAAACATCCGCTGAAAGTGGATTCAGGAATTAACTTTGAGGCGTTTATAGAATACTACCTGTCGCCCGCGATTCCGTCCGCGTAGAATAAATAAAAAAGTAAGTAGCCTATGTGTTCTTCCAGACTATCCTCTACAACTATACCAAATTTGATCAAAATCGGTTCAGCCGTTTAGGCTACAAACTCTAACTAACCATCCATCTAAATCTGATCTTACTAATATTATAAATGCGAAAGTTTAGATGGGTGGATGTTTGTCAGAGTTTGTAGCCTAAACGGCTGAACGGATTTCGATGAAATTTGGTATAGATGTGGAGGATAGTCTGGAAGAATACATAGGCTACTCACTTTTGTTTTTTTTTTAATTTCACGCGGACAAAATCGCGGACGAAAGCTAGTATTAGTATAAAGTATGTTACTTTATTTATTTTTTAACAAGTGTTTCAGTAGTTTACAGTTATTATCTTCACTCAGGTGCTTTATTATACGCTTATGTTCATAATCCTCTGAACATAGAAAATGTACAATACTCGTAGTACTGAGATGAGCGTCACCCGCATCCGAGCAATTTAAAATTTAATTTTTATCTCGCTCCGGTCATTGTAGCGCGGAGATAATTGCTCTTCCGTGCTGCTTGCTGTTTGCTGCCTACACTATAATAGAGCCTCCAACGCTGCCAACATAAAACATTTTAATGTCATAATTAAATAACCTGAAAGCGGGAATAATCCCTACATATTTTTAAACATAGTCACATTATTGCTTGAGAAAAAACTATAAAACGGATCTGTCTACACAAAGACAAATGGAATTATAAAAAAACTTAACAAAGGTAATGAAAATTAAAAGTATACAATGGAATGGAAAAAATTTGAAAAATCTTAAACATCGTCGTTCCCAGTACTGCAAGAGTAATTTTCAACGCGAGGCTCCTTTTATGTTGTTAAAGAAAGAAACAAATTAAAGAATTCTCCGGGAAGGTACACAAGGAACAAGGACGGGGATAAAATTAAATTAGAATAAATTAGACAATTACCATTAAATATTCCTTTAGAAGGCCGAGTCAACGACTCGTTTAAAAATAAAATTAAAGGGCAAAGACTCAAAGACCTTTTGTACCTTTAATTTATTGTCTTATTTTTAAACTTTTTTGATACAACGTAATACGTAAATACTGATTCAAAGTTTGTAATTAAAAAAATAATCTTTTCTTGTGAGCGCTGTGTACGTCTATCATCTGTGTCCTCTTCTGTTTTTGAGACGTACAATTGGTGTTTTTTATAAGGTTATAAATAAATAAATATAAGTCATGGCTATAGACAGAATACAAACCTTAATAAATCAATTATTACCTGGTTAGGGGTTGCCGTTTTATTTCTTTATTGTTTTTATCATAGAAATCTGTTGTGTTTTTGAACTGTTTCCCGCGTTATTATTACATTGTTTTAACTTATCGATGACTGACCTAACAGATGTTCTATATTCTTAGTGGCCAGTTTCTTATTCGTAGTATACAAACTCCTTGCTTATCAGAGGTTGAATACCTCACTAAACTCACTGAATTCTGTTACACCGCTTACAGCGTTCCAAGGATGAACTAAAAATCATAATGGCTTTAAAGGGATTTAGTGCATATACACACCCATTGTAGGGCTTCTTTGGCACGCGACACGCGCTGCGAACTACACAAAGAAATCTTATGGTTGATAAAACATTATTTGTTACTTTGAAGTGTAAGGAAACGCAATTTACAAGACTGAGTGCATCTGCTAATGAAAATGGGTAACCATCCCAGACATATAAAATAAATAAAGATTATTTTTCATACATACACACTTACCGTATTTCGACGTAGTACACATCGACCTTCGTCCCCACAGCAATGAGTCAACGCCAAACATCCTCTGTGAACCCTGGCAATCTGCCAACGACTTTACAACTTTGTAACGTGTTTCTATTAACAAAATACATACGTTGGAAATACTTTTCTAACAGTTTTGGGTGTAAGTGCGTTTTGCTGCTACTTATGTATGGACTCGATATTTTTATCACTGGAAATTATGCAATTCAAATGAGAGTCACGCGATGCAACAATGCTTTGTGTCGCTGATTCATGTTTTTGAATTAATGAAGTGTATAGACTTTGATTTGTTTTTCTGTCATGAGTTAATAAAGGATCCTCATTTTTAGGAGATTAATTAAGATTACTTAATAATGCAAGGGTTCAGATAAAATAATATGAAATCTTTATTGACATTTTAATTAAGTTTTTTCACGATATATGTAACCTTTAATGTTTAAATGCTTTTTTCCTCAAAACAAAATTGTTTGCAATTTAAATCAAAGAAGCGTAGACATAAATCAGAATTTACATATCGCTTTTAACTCTCGTTTTAGATCCCAAATTAATAACGCCGGCGAGAATTTGATAAAACGGACCGCAGCGCGCCAAAATTATCCCGCCATTATTCAATACAGGGTTCAATGACTGCCCACCTGTCAAACACCACGTTCAGTGTCCCTTTCGCACTACTTGATTGTTATTGTATCTATATCTATCTATATCGCTATCTCGTTCTGGTTTGTATCAGCAGGTATTGTTGATAGCTTTAATGTTATGGCTAGCGATGTTATGATGGGGAAATAATTTATGAGTCGCTTTCTGATATAGAGTTGCTGCTTTTGTATTAAATTCATATTTTAACTAGTGCATTTTTATTAAGACCGTCAATCCAGATAACTAATTAGTTTTTCTTTCGTTTACCTTTATTTGTTTAAATGAAATGCTCATCCGCATTGTCCTGATGTTTAAATCCGAGCAAATGAACAAAATATCCCGTAAAATGAACGCAGCGCCTGTTAGTATTTAGTCTGTCGCTTTCCCGCCATTTTGCGGGGTTGCTAATCGCTTGTGATTTACGTGTCAAATTATTTGCTGATGACTTTGTCAATACGATAATTAGATTATGTTCTCTTAGTCTGTTTTAACAACAAAAGTAATTAAATGGCATTTTGTTTTATCCCGGTATTCGGGTTTAATTCGTAGGTAGTTGTAGTGTAATCGAGTAAAGTAAAAGTAAAGGTTACTGTGAAAATAATCTTTTATTTCGTTCTGAAAATGTAACAGAGTTAATAAAAATGAAAATGTATTCACCAAAGTCGGGATTACATGCAGTACTTTTAAAAATGCTCACGTATAAAATAAAAACAGTAACGCTATTTGCTAGGGAACGCCCGCCCTCTTTATCCTCGGCAATACGAATGCCATTTTCTGTGTATTTTTTGTGGCCAATTTTAATCGGCGCTGCCATTCTGCGAGCGAACCAACGAGGCCATTTCATTTCTCCCGCTCCTTTGAACGGTCTTTTAAAGAATTCGCCCGAGTTTTCATTATGATGCTTTAATGCATATCGCTATTGTGCTTTTCGTAATTTTTAGAGCTAAAGATATTTTACGAGAAGCCGGTTTGAGGCGACAGAGGCTAAAAAATAATTGAAAATGAATAAAATATGTTGAAACACTACATAAACATGTTTCTATAATAGCTTTAAAAATTGTCATTTTAAATGTAAATATTCTACTTTTAAAACAAATGTCTAATTCGTAGTTTTTTCTTTTCAGATCGCGGTTAAGATGGTGCAATGATGTGAGCGCGATGCTACTGCAGCAGGCGTCGTCGCCGGGCCCCAGCGGCGCCCATAGCCCCAAACCGGCACCTAGCCCTAAACCCCATCCTCACCCTAGCCCCAGCTTCAACACCAGATTCACAGGCAGCCCCAATTTAAGCGATGGAGCGTCTAGCTCTAATAGCCCTAGATTGGGCGCCAGTCCGAAGTTCGGAAGCCCACGGTTGGGATCTGGAAGTCCGAAACCTTGTCGAGGGTCCGCTGACGATGAAGCGGCGCTGGAGAAGCTTCAAGCTGAGCTGAAGGAGGGGTGGACAGTACACACGGGAAGAGATGGCAGACTTTACTATTGCAAGTAAGTATTTCTGTTTACTTTGTATTAAATTGAATTTGTTTGTTGTTTTTATTCAGGAATGGATGAACTGTTTGTTTTGTTTTAGACAATGTTTACAAATAATGTACAAACAAAGATGAATGTTTCATTAGAGAGTTTTAACAGCGGTCCCAATGTTAACCTGATGGGAATTTCTATTGCATGACATGAAGTACGTATTTTAAAAGGAATTGAGATCATGGGAAGCTATTTATTTAAAAAATGTTGCATAATTTCTGTATCGATGGTTGAACGATCGATAAAACAGAAGCATCCATCTGTTTAAGATAGTTTAGTTGATAAACTAGGAATCATTAGTGAAGAGTTAGCAGATCAAAGATCCCGTTCCTCTTATATTAAGAGCATTCCTTTCCGTGCGTGACTCCGTTATGATTTGATAGTTGTAACAATTGCCGGCGACGCGGCAAGCGCTCTGTCCGTTTCAAATTCCTCTCCACAATAAGTAATGACTAGGAACTATTTCATTATTATCTAATAACTATTTTAAACTGCTGATATAATATAAAACTTCTTACATAAAAAGGGCTATATGAGTTAATAAAATTAAATAACGCTACGAAAGAACATCAATATTTGAATACGCACACATTTATTTCCAATCACGTTTAATACTCCTGATTCCTTCATACGGAGCAAACATTAATTTTACAGCCGTTCGCTGAGTCGAGCTCAAATATTTTCCCTCCATTTTGAAACGTCAAACAAAATGGATTCCTTCATATTTTAAGTTGCGTTCAGAAATCGTTTTAGCGAATCAATCCGCATCGCGTTTGTTGGAATAGCAAAAGTTTGTGTTGGTATTGAAGGTTGGAAACTCGACGTTTGTTATTGTGTGAACAACTGAGATGCTACGTGCTCCGAATTACCATTCTATGAACTTCAACAAATTATATAATTTATGATCGTGACAATTCTAAAGATAATATGACAACTACGTGATTTTAATTCTAGAAAAATCTAGGAGTAACAGGAAACATTTTTAATCACAATCTGCTTGAGAATAATTAGGTACGTTCTACAAAGCGCCAATTCAATTTCAACATTGTCTACAACCCGACCCATACGAAGTCACAGTTCTGACGCTCCTAACGTTCTTTATCAGATTAACATCCGTACTATTGACATCTTCGACATCTTGAACTGACATTCGCTGTCCAATCACCGTCCATACTATTGACATCCATTGTCAATTCAGGTTTCATACTATTGTCGTCTTACAAATGTTTCATTTTGAGAACATATTTTTACAAATCAACATGCTTAAAAAGACAATTTTTCTTAAATTTGCTTTTAATATTTGGAATATTTATTAGGGACTTTTACATTTACCGCGTGATTGCTCGCAGAGTCCGTCGCTAAATAGCTCCCGGCATGGCGAAACTGCCTTCCTCTCCATTGTCCATATGTTGCTATTACAGCACGGTTAACGTAATGGATCAAAATATCTGTTGCGTAAAACGGTAAAGTAACTACATTGCTTTACTTCTTTTATGGTGTAAATATTTCTAGAGAAACTTACAATCATCTTTGGATTGACTACCCATTGAAAGAATATATTTGTTAGAATTTATATGTTACTTTTTACTAGTTGTTGCTCGCGACGTCGTCCCCGTGGAATTATAAAAAATATAGCCTATATTACTAAGTGATTATGTAACTTCTTAATGGTGAAAGAATTTTTAAAATCGGACCAGTAGTTTTTGAGTTATTTCAATACATACAAATATTCAAAAATACCAATATTTTCTCTTAATAATTTTAGTATAGAGTAGATAAATGCGAAAATATATACGGAATCTTAAAAGTTTAAAGTTAAATTATGTATTTCCAGAACAAATCAATCTGCCTAAAATATGGCACAGATATAGAGCATAGTCTGGAAGAATCCATAGGCAAAGGATACCATTATACAAATATATATGACGTTATAAATGAGGCAATACGATGGTCTGGAGGCGGGTCAAAGTGGATGCACAATTATGTGCAGATCGCTGGCCGTGAAATTTGTGACGTCACGATGCACACGCTCGGACACACGTAATGTCATCCCATATAATCAGATAGCTGTTTTTAAGGTTATCTTAAAGAATATTTTATTTTATAATAATGACAAATAAAACGTAACTGTATACTATTTATTATTACTGGATTCTGATTGTATTTAGTAGTTAGGTACAGTCAGCTATATAAATGTGTATAAAACTATAAAATATCGGTTTCAAAATTCTTTTTTTGAACATAAATACAGATTATTGACGTATACGTGTACAAGAATTTTTTAAACTAAAACCCTACTCAAGTTTCAAAGTAAATACGATAGTTAAATGGATGTTTGTTAGAGTTTGTAGAGTAAACTGCTGGACAGATCTCGGTGAAATTAGGCATAGAGGTAGAAGAACTCTGGAAGAACGCAAATGCATACTTTTTTTAATTACATCCATACGGAAGCGAAAGTTAATGAATACATATTTATGCAGCCGACTGTACTTTCAGTACCTATGCCATTACGATAAACGGTATAATTAAAACCACGATAAAAACATCTGCAACACGACAATGATATAGAGTGTATTAAAGCGATTGTAGAGCAGGCTTTCATTAGGGCGCGGGCGCTGTAACGCGACTCGAGGCCCTATACAAACACCTTTTGTTCTCTGCCCACTGGAAAACGATACGCCCCAGATGTTATAAGACTAGATGTAACTTGACACCGCGGTTTTATTTAACAACTTCCTTATGATAGCTTTGAAGATATATTTAGTTCTAACACTTATATTATTATTTATTGTAGTGTATAAATATTAGAAAAAAAGATAGAGTTAACTCGATTATCTAATTTATAATATGACAATGGTTTTCTAGTTTATATGAAACGATAAAATAATAAAGAAAAAAACTGACTCTGAAAAGGGGTTATAGTAAAATTTCGGGATTACATTTAGTAGTAAATTATGTTAGATTTTTGTAAAGCTATCCATGCCGCATCCAGTATCTTTAGTTCATTGTTAGCATATGTGGAGGTTATTAATTGTGGGCAGTCGGGTCCAGTAGAACCTTATTACAGCCGCAGTCAGCGGTCACTTCATTACGCTTTAACGACGCCCTATTTCATTAACTGACCACATTTTAGCTTATAACTGCGGACATTACGGGACATCTCTAATACAAATTAACATCTTTACTATGAATTTTATTAATACTCTCGTAGATAACGTTTTTTATTTAATTGCCTTTGGGTTTGCGATCATAGAACATAGATTCTTTTATAATTTGTTTGAATTTTCAATACCTAAAACATATTTAGGTTATATCTAAATTACTATAAGAATAAAAAATAGGCAGAGTCTACGGTCGTATTATGTCAAAAACACATGTTTTTGTATGCATTTCGACAGTAGAAAACGTTCAAAATGTGATTATATTAATTTTGGCATGTTACATAAATCCTTCGTGTCACAATCTCATCTCGCGTTAACATTTGTATCAATATTTACGTAGTGAAGCAATAATCGTGTTTTTTTTTCAAATCCCATTAGCACGTTTGAGTCCAAGGCAAGGATGTTAGACATTTACTCGACACATCTAAATGTTCTTAGCACGTGATAATTGTTTGATAAAATATATTTTAAATAAATGATAGGTTAACATTCCGAGTTATCAATCTTATATGATTTCCAAAGGAACAGATTGTATTTTAGTTCTAAATCCTTTAAATAAATTTTACTCACAGGGTGAGCATATTTGTTTGGACAAACATAAATCAATTTAAATAAATACGCTTGTTGTAGACATTTTATTGTAATTGTATATTTTGTACTGTGTTTAATAAAATGAAAGAAATTGTGATTGTAAGTGTGTTTTTTTAAGCCAAGCAATGTATGACTAAGCGCGGTCAAATCGGTCAATCTGCCTTGATTAACTTTGAACTGACCTTTACTTAGATTAGGAAACAGAGATCGATCGATTCCTAATGGACGAAGCTTGTGTAGGCGATGATAATATAGAAATAATGAACTAGAAAACATAATATGTTGAATTATTACCAAATTCCAATATAAAACAAAACTGATATCCTAACGATGCAACTATGTAAGAAATTAGGTCGTTCCAATAATAAAATAAACCTTTACAACCAGTTTAATATGGTAAGCTAAAATTTGTTTAAATGTGCTTAAATTTATTTTAATTTTTAACAGTGGTAGTGCCCACTTTTACATCTTAGCACGAATGGGCCGGCACGCCTGGTGTAATACCACGACCACACAGAAGACAGGCGTAAAATGGAAGCAATTCCGTGTTTCGTCTGATGAGTGGGGGTGGCGGAGGCATCATTTAAGTCCCTTTCTCTTTACCACCCTTTTCTTATAAGGAGAGGTTGGGTAGGGGAAGTGGATTTGACGGTGGATGAGATGCATAGGTAGGGGAAATATCCTCTTTATGTGCGTCTCCTCCTCCGTCGTATGATGGTAGGCAACGCATCTGCAATTGCGGATGTCTACGGGCAGCGGTCGCTTCGCCATTTTGGCGGTTTTCAGGTGGCCGCTTGCTCGTTTGCCACCTTATGTTTTAAAAAAAAAATTTTATCGGCTAAATACTGAAACGAATCATAAATACTTCAGTTATTGAATTTGAATAAGCGTGGCCTCTTTAATTTAAATGTCATTTCAGTATACGGCTGTTAACTGTTAGTAAGTAAATACAATTTAATTTGAAACTTTAATTACATTGACGAGCGCGGCGCTGCGGGTGCCGCGGCGCTGCGGGCGGCGCTGCGGGCGGCGCGGGCATGCAGGGTGGCATTGTTTGTGTTTGAATCCACTCCCAACAGATGAGATGAACTCTACGCGATGAGATTCCATTTTAAGTAAAAATTTAAATTATTTTAATGGTCTTGCAGTCACTGCGAACATCGTAACCTACATAGATATTTAGTAACTGAATATATATTTTTCTACAAGTTT